AGATCCCAGAGTGATGGCTGTGCACAGAGGTCGAGGTCAACCATCACATGTAAAGGGACAGTTTTGTTAAGGACTATCATTACCATGGTCTCCCTGCCATGGTATCCTCTTTTTATCCAAGAACAGAATTCCAGGATAAGCCTGGCCCAGTTCTTATCTATCACTGACCTATCTTTACCATGTGCTGGTCAAGTTTCTGCTCACTCTTGCCCCACTCCTTGGATCTGATAGGGACCTTCATTTCATTCCTAAGTAGTTTTATGCTTTGATCTAATCCTGAAAGCCAGGGGTAGGCACTAGTGAGTTTAGAAATAAAATAGAGCAGCCAACTCCTTTTGGCCATATTCTACCGGACACTGAACACCTGGTTCGCATTACAGCTCTTCCAGATGACAACTATGGCAGCCATGAAAATTCCATTTTCTTCCTTTTAAAAAAAAAAAAAAAAAAAAAAGTTGAGATCTGGGCCAGGCACGGTGGCTCACGTCTGTAATCCCAGCACTTTGGGAGGCCAAGGTCGGTGAATCACTTGAGGTCAGGAATTCGAGACCAGCCTGGCCAACATGGTGAAATCCCACCTCTACTAAAAATACGAAAATTAGCCGGGCGTGGTGGTGGCAGGTGCCTATAATCCCAGCTACTCGGGAGGCTGAGGCAGGAGAATCACTTGAAGCCAGGAGGCGGAGGTTGCAGTGAGCCGAGATCGTGCCACTGAACTGCAGCCTAGCAACAGAGCGAGACTCCATCTCAAAAAAAGAAAGAGTTGAGATCTGGCTTTGTCACCCAGGCTGGAGAGCAGTGAGCCACGATTGTGCCTCATTCCTACACTCAAGCAATCCTCTCGCCTCAGCCTCCCAATGAAATGCACCTCTTAAATCTACAATTGCAGGAAATGTAGTTGAATGATGATCCTAGCCATCATATTTGAGCCAAGGCCATCCTTCCGATGGGCTGCTCCAGGCAATAATGAAGTGTTACATCCCAGCATAATCTGGCTGAGGGAGAGGTGGGCCTAATAAGGAAAGAAAAAGACTATACACTAAAATAGCAAAAGGAATTAGGTAGGAATTGGCTCCTGAAGTAGGAGCTAGGGGAATACCCCTGGGATTGGATAAGAGTGCTTGACCAAGAGGCCTGGAATATAAAACTGGATAAGCAAGAATTCATCAACTTCAGGCACTTTCTCAGGACACAGACTTAACACTCTGGCAAGGACCCTAGGAGATGGGGCTAACTTGCTGCTATGGTGAGACCTGGAACAAGTGAGTGACACCAAACCCTGAGTGAAGTGGCAAACTGCGCTGACAGAAGTGGGAGGGCAGAATGGGTACATAATGAGTCAGAAGACTCACCGGAGGATTCTGTTCCATGGGAGGGCGCAGACGCACTGCTCACCAAGAGCATCAGGCTGGTGAGAAAGGCACTGGTGTCACTAAGTCTGTGATGGTGTCTTCTGCAGGCCAGGGTTGACTAGACTAGGTAATTGTAGACCTGGGTTTGTTAAATCCATGGAATGATTTGCTAGCCAGCTCTCCCATACCCAGGTAACAGAGGCCAAGCAGAGTTGTTTGAGCACAGAAGTTAAGAGGCCTCATATAATGAGCAGACAGATTGAAGAGGGAGTCAAGGGGAAAGGTGGAGATGGTTAATAGAACATAGCATGCTTAGGACCAAAACAGATGGGCAGCCAACAGAGGTGCTGCCTAACATCTACAACCAAAAAAGGGCAAGGATGGGGAAGTGGAGGCTGCAGATGGTCACCCCAATAAAAAGTCATAATCCATGCTTAGTTCCTAAGCCTGAGTCAATAATCTGACCAACACAGGTCTTACTTTTAAATCATCTTTTAGTTCTTCTTTGTAATTAGTTTAAGTTCTCCATAATTCCACTTAGGTTGGACCTTCAAAAGACATAGACCTCTAAATAACCTTTCCATTTGTATGAAAATGCCATTATCTCCTTCCAGCTCCCATACCCTGAAGACCCTAGAAGGCTCTAACTTAATATTAATAGGATTATTTGGTAGCCTATATGTCAGTAATATTTTTCACTAATCCTTCTCACAGTTGCCCGTTTTTGTGATATTCCAAAAGGCAGAAAGTATTTGCAGGAAGTTGCTATTTATAGAATATGAACTGTATGGATCAAAGTTAAATGATTTTTTAAATGATCTATTTCAAGAGAAACACCAGATTTGAAATTGATCTTCAGGAAGCAAAGGGCTGAAAGTTTAAAAAATTGAAGAGAAAAGAATGTGTCTACACTAAAGTTCAAGTACATGACAACCAGAGAATTTTACACAGGTTTCAACTTTTTATAGAACAATTTTTTTGTTTGTTTGAGACAGAGTCTTGCTCTGTCACCCAGGCTGGAGTGTAGTGGTGCGATCTCGGCTCATTGCAACCTCTGCCTCCCGGGTTCAAGTGATCCTCCTCCCTCAGCCTCCCAAGTAGCTGGGATTACAAGTGTGCACCACCACACCCAGCTAATTTTTCTATTTTTAGTAGAGACAGGATTTCACCATGTTGGCCAGGCTGGTCTCAAACTCCTGACCTCAAGTGATCCACCTGCTTCAGCCTCCCAAAGTGCTGGGATTACAGGCATGAGCCATTGCACCCAGCCTTATAGAACAATTTTAAAGCATATACAAACATACATTTAAATAGTTTGATCTCTGAAACTATTACAGAACATTTAGCAATACGACATTTACCCCTAGATGTTGACTTTTATGGAGCTTTGATTTTCTAAATGTGTTTATATGTATTCACTATTAAATATATTTAAATATGTACAAATACATACTTGTATTCATCAAATTTGTGCTTTTTTATGTGCTTTTTTCCCACTCATTTATTTAGAAAAGTTCTTTAAAAGGTAGCTATACCCAAAGCTGTTTATCAGTATAATTTAATTAGAGTAAATTGTGTTGGTATACAAATACAGAAAAATATTTACAGAGCTTAATAGCTCAGTGGCCACTATTGGTAAATAAGTATTCTAAATATCTGTAATTCTCAAAGGTTGTGTCACGTCCCTAAAAAAGGGTAAAAATAAAATAAAACTTTAGGACCTAAGCACCCACTGTGGCTAATTGCCCAAACCAGTGGAGATATTATCCTAGAGAGCCACCTGCAGTGCAAGCAAACTCAAGTATGTGCTACGTGCCCACCAAGTAACAGTTGATTCCTCGGTTATTAAATTTAATCCTCATAAAAACACTTTCATATTATTATACTCCTTTTGCAGATGTGAAACCAAGCTTTGAAGGATTAAGTGGCTCATGGAAGGCCACATGGCTCTAAGTTGTAACTGTGGAGTTTGAACTCAGATCTTCTAGTATTAGATGTGGTATTTGGTCTACTTTGGCACAGAAGCCCATAGATCAGGAGTTGGCAAACTTTTTCTGCAAATGCCAGATGGTAAATATCTTGAGCTTTCCAAGCCGTAGGTTCTTTGTTGCAACTACTGAACTCTGCCCGTGTAGTCAGTAGTTCTATATCAACCATAGATAATATACAAATAAATGAGTTTAGCTGTGTTTCAGTGAAACTTTATTTACATGCACATGTGGTAGGCAGGATTTGGCCAGGGGCCATGATTTGCTAACTCCTGATAGCGATTAAAACATACAAACAAACCATAAAGGGACTAGACTCTAGAGATCCTCCTTTTCTGACCTTCGGAGGTATTTTTCATTATTGCTCCACTTACTATCCTGAGCATGTGATGATGATGATTTCGCTGTAAATTCATCCTCTAGTTCTTACCTCTTCCACGGTGCCAGCTTGCTTCTCCCTAACACTAGTTCCAGCTTTGTGCAGATACACTTTAAGGCAGCAATCAGTATCTTTTTTTAATGTGAGCACCAATTCAGGAAAAACAAGCTTTTTCTCTTACTCGTGGTAAAAACAGCTTTATAGAACCCCAAAAGGTAGAAACAACGTGTTCTTACAACTTAGATTCCTTACCGAACATTTCCAAATGCTTAAAAACATTGCTACTACTTTTTGGTCACCAAGGTGCTAATATATGTGAGCAGAATCATCTTTCTAATCTTCCATTCCTTAACTTTATATGATGCTTTAGGATTCAAAACATGTATTCTTGTACCTTCTTTCATTTATCTTTGAAGCAAACTTTGAACTGTTATTATTATGGAGAAACTGATACTCAACAGGGGTTAAGTGACTCACCACGGTCACAATTCCTTCTCTCCAACTTAATATTGAACAAGCAGGTACTGTGCTAGGTGCAAAATAAACAGATAAAATTCCACTTCCTTCCCTGTCTCTCTTATCCCCTTTGCCATCCCCAGACTTCACCAAAATCTTTGTGCCTAGATAAGCAATTCTGAAAAGATTCTTCTCCTGGCCAGGTAGCTTTTTCCCCCTTAAAGTCTCTGTTGTTGAACCAAATGCTGCATTTGAAACGAGATCAGAGACCTTTCTGGAAAGTCAAACGGAGCATGAAGCGCTCTCATCTCGGCTGCTCATCCACTGCCTTATGCGATCCTTCTCTTCACGGACTCATCTCCACTATTACACATGACTCGTTTTTAAAATTCTTAGACTCTCTGGTCAACGTAAAGTTCATTCTTAATATTTTATTCAGTTTACCATTTGTTCTAAACGTTAGTTTTATTTCCCCAAATAAATAAAAATTCCTTACTGCCTCTGCCAATAGCCTTTCTGCATACAGTGAGCCCCGTGCACCTACTGACCTGTCTTCAGCTGATTTTACAGGGAGGATCATTTCCACAGTGGGTTCTTTATTTGATCAGTTGTGTTACTTGTTCATAGTCATTTCTTCAAGATCTGCTCTTAACTCTTTCAGATTTTATTGGTTGGCTAATATGAATAGTTACCCTAGTATTTCCACTGAGCACATTCAGTAGTTCAGGGCATTTTTTTTTAGTTTCAGGTAAGGATTGTTTTTAATTACAAGGAGTAGCTGTCACACAGTGAGCCGGTTGAATGAAACTTTTTCACCCTACTCACCTCTGCAATCAGATCATGCAGCTCTCCTTCAGTAGGGCAGCATCCTAATGACCTGATAATTGTTCCAATCTCTCTGGGGAAAAAAAAAAAGTTTTCAATGGTTTTAGAATATAAACTCTGAAAAGGCTATGTTTCTCCAAATTATCTCAGAGCATATTTTGTAACATAGGAAACCAAATCCCTCCAATATTGCCTCATGATTATAAAAGATGTTTTCTGGGGAAAGAAAAAGGAAGCTAAGTGAACCAAAGAAATATGAAAGAAATGGCTTCATTGACTGGCAAACACCTTGCCTGAGCCAATATAAAAAAGTTCTAGAAAGAAAAAGAAACGTTGGCCATGTACTAACTGACTTTAAGTGTTACTTAATTCTTTTGAGCCTCAGTTTCCACACCTGTAAAATGGGAATGATAATGTCTACCGCAGAGTTTTGCAGTGAAGTTGACATTAGTATCAGAGTGTTAAAAGCATGGCCTCTAGCACCAAACCACTAGGGTTCAAATCCCAGCTCTGTGACTTACTGGATTGGAGAAGTCACCTACCTAATCAATGTGCACATAAGCCTACCTGGTAGGTAAAACACAGTGACTTCCTTCAAACACTAAGAACCAGGATGGGGGACACACTAAGGGTTAAATAAGAAGAGCTATCATAAAACAAAGCACATCTCCTGGCAGGGCAGCTACTCAATAAATATTAGTTATTCACCTCTCCCTGCCCCAATCATAATGTAGTTCAATTCCACAAATAACCTAAGAAAAGTATAAATGCTATTCAGTACTCTCTGAATATTAAGACAGGGGATGTGTAATTGATTACGAAATACTTCCATTCAAAAGTATTAAAATTAAAGTTGTAATGTTTGAAAGTTAATTTAATTTCACAAATATTCACTTAACTAGAATAGTTAATTTCTTTACCATTCTGGATAATTTTAGCAGTATTATATTTACTCCCTATTTTACAAAGAAAACATTTTAAATAAGAATTTTAAATTTCTTCACTGAAAGAGGTTGCAGAATGAGTATCAACTTGAAAGTAAAATCTAAAAAAAAAAAAAAAGTAAAATCTAAAGTCAGTAACTATGGAATATAGGATTCTTTTCACTTACTGATCTTTCTTCTTAATAAATGAAGGGCCAACAAAACATGTACTATCCTCACGTCAAGTATATTTCCTTGTTTCCCCTGTTTTCTTGTTTTTTTCTTTCATATAGCAAAGGTATTATTATTATTATTATTATTAGAAAGGGTCTCACTTTCATTGCCCACGCTAGAGTGCAGTGATGCAATCTCGGCTCACTGCAGCCTTGACTTCTCAAAACTCAGGTGATCCTCCCACCACAGCCTCCCAAGTAGCTGGGGCTACAGATGTGTGCCACCGCACCCGGCTAATCGCACACTCTCACACTTACTGCAGGCAAGAGTTTCGAAGCAGGGCAACACAAATCTCACATTCTCACACTGATTGGAGCTAAATAAGTTGGTCTCAGGGAGGTAGAGAGTAGAATGGTGGTTACCAGAGGCTGGGAAGGGAAGAGGAAAAGGAGGACAAAGAGAAATTGGGTTAATAAGAACAAAAATATAGTTAGATAGAAGAAGTAAGTTCTAGTATTTGATAGTACAGTAGGAAAATTACAGTTAACAATAATTTATTCTATTTCCAAAACAGCAAGAAGAGAAGAATTATAATGTTCCCAACACAAAGATAAACATTTGAGGTGATGGATACCCCAATTACCCTGACTTGACCATTACACATTGTATGCAGTTATCAAAATAGCACATGGACCTCATACATATGTACAACCATGGTATCTCGATTTTTTAATTACCAAAAAACAAAAAAGATTTTTGAAGGGGACAAGATGGGGGAAAAGACAAATTCTAGGCCCGCGCTAGACCAAACAGCAGCCACCAACTACATCTAGCGATTACGCATTTGAAATGTGATGACTACAAATGGACATGTGTTGCCAGTGTAAAATATACACTGACTTCAAAAGCTTAGTATGAAAAAGAAAATGCAAAATAGCTCATTAATAGTTTTTAATATTGGTTACATGTTGAAATAACATTTTAGACACATTGGGTTAGATAAGTTGTTAAAATTAATTTTACTTGTGTTAAATTATTAGGTTCGTGTGAAATTGTGGGTTTGCCATTAAAAGGGCAAAAACTGCAATTACTTTTGTACCAACCTACAAGTTTAGCCTAAAGCTGACTCCTTACATGTTTGAAGCTTGACCTAGAGGTTTCTGCATATATAGTGAACTGCAGCCTAACTGGACGTTGTAACAGACATAACCTACTCACGCCCCAGTCACAGCGTTTCGGCCAATCACAGCCAACGCTTCAAACCTTGTTCAAAAGGGGCCAACTTCGAGCTGTAACTAGGCCAGCTGCTTCTGCACCTCGCTTCCATTTCCCGCACATCACTTTCCCTTTTCTTGGAGAGGTGAACTGATTCTCAGGTGATTCTCTGCTCAATTAAATTCTGTTCAATTCCATTCGTCTAAAGTTTTTCTTTCAACAACCTGTTTCTTTTTTACTTAAAAAAATGTGGCTAACAGAAAATGGAAAGTGATATACTATGCAAACTCTTTCTGCACAGGGCTTTTCTAGGGAAGAGCTTCCATCAGGAGTCAGACTGTGAGAAGAGAGCAGAGAAGGAGAAAGTGAGAATTACACTGTGCTGCGTCAGCTACAGAAGCCTCCTTGTTCCTCTCTGAGACACTCCCAGCTACTCAGGAGGCTGAGGCAGGAGAATCACCTGAACCCAGGAGGCGGAGGTTGCAGCGAGCCGAGATGGCGCCACCGCACCCCAGCCTGGGCGACAGAGTGAGAGTCTTTCTCAAAAAAAAAAAAGTATTAAGCAAATGTAAGGTGTGGAAATTTGTGTCACAACCTCATATACGGTACGTGAGTAACCTGAGTATAAAATGTCTACCTGGGGTACAGTATTGACAGGATACACGAAGAGCTGGTAACATTCACTGGAGGGTGGAGAATGCCTTGGAGAGAGTGGGTGGCAGGGGCAAAGGCTGGAGGAAGTCCTTTCGCCATCTACCTTTTGAATCGTTTGTATTACAAACAAATGAATACATACATTTTAAATTAAGTAACTTAGTCCCAGCTACTAGGGAGGCTGGGGCAGGAGGACAGCTGGAGGCCACGGGTTCAAGGCTGCAGTGAGCTATTACACACCTGTAAATGGCTACTGCACTCCAGCCTGGGCAGCACAGCAAGACCCTGTCTCTAAAAAGATTTTTAAATAAAACAACTTAGAACTTCATAAAATGAATATTCTGGCTGGATGATAAAAGGCTATAATTGTCTTAAACACGTTAAGAGAAGCACAGTCTGACCCAGGGATAGGCAGCGAGGGGCAAGAAGAGCAAATGAACCTAAGACAGAGGTGGAAGGAGTCGTCAGACTTCATGAGGGAGAGGAAGGTCAGAAGAGTTAAGAATTTCTTATCAGTTGGTAATGAGTTACCAATATCAAGGACTGCATCAATCACTGAGCTCAGAAAACGGAAGGAGAAACAGGTCAGGCGCAGTGGCTCACATCTACAATCCCAGCACTCTGGGAGGCTGAGGGTGGGAGGATCACTTGAGGCCAGGATTTCGAGACCAGCCTGGGCAACATAGCAAGACCGCCATGTCTACAAAAAATTTTCAAAAGTACTTGAGTGTGGTGGCATGTGCCTGTGGTCCCAGCTACTCAGGAGACAGAGATGGGAGGATCGGTTGAGCCGAGGAGTTCAAGGCTGCAGTGGACTATGATCCTGCAATTGTACTCCAGCCCGGGTGACAGTGTGAGATCTGTCTCTAAAAGAAATACATGTGCAAAATAAATAAAAATAAAATTTTTAAAAGGAAGTAAAAAGGTTTGGGTGGAGGGAGATGAAGAGTTCAATCTGGCATGTGCTGAATTTCCAACATGCTTGTTCTTGCTGGTTATGCCATGAAAACCCTGGCCATCTCTCAGGGTTACGTCGCAGTGAGCAGCCTCGAGAGATGACGCAATGTCTCCCTCCAGGCCAAAAAGCAGGCTTGCTTCCTGCTTGCTATAAAAGCAGTAGATATCCCCTGTTCTGTTCCCTGAAATTCTCTGTTCTGAAAGCTCTGTTCCCTTTCTATAATGCCAACCATTGCCTGTGCAGGCATCCAGCTGGGCCCATCACCAGGAAAAGGTGAGGGCAGGAGAAACTGTCACCCACAAGCTGATGCTCATGTTGCCTGCTGTGCCAAGAGGAATGAAGTCCTTTGTCACTGACCCAGGAGTCTCAAGTCTTGTGCCAACATCCATGGAACAGTAACAAGCTAACTTACTAGCTTACAAGTGGGGTAAATCAAACCACAGACTTGATACTCCTAAGAGTGTGAAGTGCAGGAGAAGGATCAGGCTGGAGACGTGGATCTGGTCATGAAGGCACAGGAGCAGAATTCCTCTAAGTAGAATGTATTGGCTAGGAGAGACAAGGAAGAGGTCTGAGGAGTACCCACATTCAAGGAATGATCCAAGAAAGAGGAACCTGCACGAGAGACGGAGCACAGGAGCCAGAGAGGGAAGTGAACATCCGGGAGAGGGCCGTGGCACGGAGGCTAAGGAAAAAGAAAATGGAAAGTCATCCTTGGCTTTCCAATGCTGCTGAGAGGTCAAGGGAGGCAAATTCTGAGAAATATCCACTGGAGTTAGTAAAAAAGGAGATCAGCTATGATTTGACAAGGGCAGTCTCTGTTGAAGGTGGAGGAGAAATTAGATTGCAGTGGGTCAAGAAGTGAAGGGGAGAAGTCAGGTGTGGTGGCAGGTGCCTGCAGTCCCAGCTACTCAGGAGGCTGAGGTGCGAGGATTGCTCGAGCCCAGGGGAAGTGGGGGCGAAGGTTGCAGTGAGCAGAGATCACAATGTGAACAGCCAGTGCGCTCGGCACTCCAGCCTGGGCAACATACACAGACCCCCACATTAAATGGGCAACATACACAGACCCCCACATTAAAAAACAAACATACAAAAATCCCAAAAACAAACAGAAGTAAAGGGGAGGGAAGGGGTGTCTGGAGAGGAACA